CTCTCACTGCACACACACACAAACTTGAAATGTTCTCAATTCAAGTGTGCTTCGCTGTCTGCAATAGGGATTAAGCTGCTTCGATTTTGGTTCTACTCATCTGGGTGGATTAGGGGCTGTTGTGGTGAAAATCCAAAACACGCACACACAAACATACGATTATACTCAGTCTCAGGCCGGCCCTCTTCGGGTAACTGAAAGGGCCAGAAAATAGTCAAAAAATTTCAAAACATTGTTTTACAGGGTGGGCCTTGAGGAACTGGGGGAAAAAAAAACAGAAAAAAAACGCAACCCTCCTTTGGGCAGGACGTCCGGCCGGACATCCAGATGCGGACGGTCTGGAATGCCGTTGGTTTATTTGTTTGTTTGTTTTGTTTTTGTTTGCGTCCCCCGCACCCCCCCTCCCTCCCAATCGTCCATACCGTTGCTCTTCTTGCTAACAGAAGAAAAATGCATCGTTATTTCAACAAGAGAATCAAAGCATGCTGAAGAGATGCGTGTGCTATGGCGCTTGACGCTTGGCACTGTGGCGCTTTGGTAAATTGTAGGCCATCTTCAGATCCTGGATATAGCTGTGGAGCTGTAGAGAGGTCAGGAGAATGCTCACACTAGGACATTTTTTACTGGAGCGGCCGCAGCGTGATGGCCCCCTGCGGGCGCATTTTGGTCGCGTTTTGGAATGGGGCGCATTCTGGAGGGGCGGGCAACGTCGAGCGCGTTTAGTTGTCTTTCGGGTGTGCCCACCCCATGTGGCAGAGGCGAGGGTGAACTGGGAGGCACATTCTGGAGGGAGGATACCGATTGAGGAGGAGTGAGGATGGAAGGCCGAGGAGGAGGGGGGATGGAGGGCGGACAAAGTGGGAGGAAGACGGAGGTTGGGGGGAGGAGGACGAGGAAGGAGAAAGACAATGATGGAAGAGGGAGGATGGAGGGAGGAATAGGAGGGAGTAGGATGATGGCGGACGGAGGATGCAGGGGGGAGGAGGTGGGATGAGGAGGTCGGAGGTTGACAGTGACGTGCTTGCTGACCGCGACTGCATGCTACACATGCGGCGTTGTTCGTGCGATTGCGGGTGTGTCGATATATGGATGGGTGAAGGACTTGGATGAATAGAGGATGGAAGGCCGAGGAGGAGGGGGGATGGAGGGCGGACAAAGTGAGAGGAAGACGGAGGTTGGGGGGAGGAGGATGAGGAAGGAGAAAGACAATGATGGAGGAGGGAGGATGGAGGGAGGAATAGGAGGGAGTAGGATGATGGCGGACGGAGGATGTAGGGGGGAGGAGGTGGGACGAGGAGGTCGGAGGTTGACAGTGACGTGCTTGCTGACCGCGACTGAATGCTACACATGCGGCATTGTTCGTGCGATTGCGGGTGTGTCGATATATGGACGGGTGAAGGACTTGGATGAATAGAGTAACGAAGCTGTGACGCCAATCATTGGCTGAGCCAGCACGATCGTGAAAGGAGATTGGTTCATGGGTGAAGCAACGGGAGGTTGTGATCTCAGTCATTTTGTGGGCATCGTCGAGGGATTGATCTCTGTTGATATCTTGCACGTCATGGCGGATCAAGATATGACCTCTTTCTCTCTGTTTCTGTTTTGGGCACGTCTGTCGTCATCTATTTTGTTTTTGTAAGACAACATGCTTGCGGTCTTTTTTACCTTTTTTGGGTCCCACGTGCATTACCTTCGTATTCAATACATCAATCAACCTATCAATCGACCCGTCAATTAGTCAATCATCTCTGAAACTTCCCGAATTACTCCGACTATCAATCGGTCGATCAATCAATCAACCAATCAATCAATCAATCGGGACAAACAATTGTCCTGCAATACCATGCATGTCCTGCTTCTCGCATCCTGCCTTGATTTTGTTTTTACCCTTCGTAAACAAGCGCTATCTCCAGGCAGTGTGGGGTGAGGAGTGGGAGGAGCACAAGGAGATCAGGAGGGGGTGGATGAAGAGGGGGATGTGGAGGAGGAAGAGTTGAAGAGGGGAATGCCAAAGGAGGAAGAGGTGAAGAGGGGATGTCAAGGAGGGGGTGGTGAAGAGGAGGACATCGAGGAGGAAGTGAACAGAGGGAGCAGGAGGATGCAATGATGACAATGTGAGGACGAGGGAAGAGCAAGACGAGGATAAGGAGGAGGAGGACGAGGAAGGAACAATACAAGGAGGCGGCGAAGGAGCATGAGGGGTCGAAGGAACTGTGATGTAAGAGTGCCGGTTGTGATGTGGCATTGTTGATTTGTTGATTGATCCATCGACTGCCAGCCCAAAAAAAGGACTGTGGATCTCTCTCTCCCTGTGAGAGAAGCTGTCGACGACACCACAATCATTGATTTGTTCTTCTCTCTCTCTCTCTCTCTCTCTCTCTCTCTCTCTCTCTCTCTCTCTCTCTCTCTCTCTCTTTTGCTCTCTCTTGCTCTCTCTCGCTCTCTCTTGCTCTCTCTTGCTCTCTCTCGCTCTCTCTCTCTGAGACAGCAGATTGCCGACGTGGCAATGATTGATTACATCAAGAAAAGGCAACATTGTCTGTATGATCACTAGTGCGCTGGCAAGCGATGGGGCGAAAGAAAGGAGGTGAGGACGGTGATCACAAGAAGTAGGGGGTGAGGGTGAACAACAATAACGAGGTGCAAACGAAGGAATGGATGGGTAAAGATGAGCTGGCGAGCTGAGGAAGGACATTACGAGAAGGAGGGGGTTAAAAGTGCTCGCTACTTTTCCACTGCACGCATTTCGCTTCTTGCTCTTTTCCGCCCTCTACCCTCTCTCCCCTTCATCTGTCTTCCGTGCTTTCCGATCATCCCCGGCTTTGGGCCGCGGCATTGCCACAATGGGTCTGCTTGTACTTATTTAAGGACATGATTGCAGTCAGATCCTGCAAGTATGGCTGTCAATAAAGTCCGATACGTTGAAGATAGGGCCAGTGTGAGTACGCCCTTGGACATGTTTCCAGTATGAAGAATCTCTCTTCAAAGTTAGGTTGGTGTTGATGTTTTGCAGCTTTCTGGTTTGTGTTGTGCCTGTCTTGTTAAGCGGCCGAGAAGGCTGTCGGTCTGGCAGCGAGTCGTTACCTTCGCACTAGCAGTGAGGCGCTCGAGCGGAATGGAAAGCTGGTCATCGACGGAGCCAGGTAAGGACCTGTAGTCCACCTAGAGGGCTCCTAACCCCTGTCCCTCTGTTCCACTCTTCGTTTACCCCTCTTTCATTCCCCCCAATCCCACATCGGACTTGCTGACGCGGTTAAAAAGGCAGCAATAGAAACGCCTACTTATTTCGACAAACAAAAGACTTCGTTGTTATTAATGGAGAAAATCAACAGTGTTTTTTGTTCCATTTGAACACCTGTCGCCTTAGTCCCGCATGGGACTCGATTTCAATCAGAAACGACAATTGAAGAGTATGCTATGATCCAAGTTCAATCCTGTATCAAAAGATTCAAAACTCAATATTGGGACAATGATTTGCAACAAATTGTAAAGAATTGAGAGAGAGAGAGAGAGAGAGAGAGAGAGAGAGAGAGAGAAGAAGAAGATGATGATGAAGACAAATACAATATTACCGGGATCTACCCCTTCTTGCTACCTCATCATTACCCCCAAATCGCCTTCATCTTGCCACCTCATCATTACCCCAAAACTTGTTCCTCTTTATTGCTCTTCAATTGCCAGAGACTACACAAACGGATAAAAAAACAATGTTCGATAAATGTTCCCAGCGAATGCATTCGAGAAAGAGCTCCAGCCGCACTGCCTCTGGCTGTCCAGGTACCAACCCATAATGGCCCGGCTGGGTGGGGTTCAGGCAGGGTCCTGGCCAATCACAGCAGATGCATACATTTATGCTCAGTTTATTTTGCCTGGGGCTTGAAGTTGTGGTTGAAAGGGGTATATCTTAACTCTTGTTTTCTATTTTCCATTTTATCTCCAAATTAGTAAGGAATTTTGGGGAGACACTTCATCCAAAATTTTCAGAATCTATTGCAACTTTACAGTGTTTACACAACATTGTCATTTCGTTTTTTTTTTTTGCATGTTTGGAAACAGAAGTCATAGTGGTCTATAATCTTTTTCGAACGTCCGGAAGAAAACAATAAAAATGGCCGCTACTGATACTGCCCTCCAATGGCTCACAAAAAGAAAGAGCGGTGCTGTTGGTGCCGGTAAGTCTATGCTCCACATTCGGGCGGCAGGCGGGGCCAAAAGAAAAAGAACCAAACCAGCTGCCAGTCAGGCCCAAAAGAAATAAGACCAACCCGGCTGCTAGCCCCGGCAAGAAAAGGTAAGCAGCCCAGTGGTAGTGAGAGGGAAAGAACCCGGGTCCAAGATGAAAAGAGGTTGGCACAGTGCTCCGTTTTCCTTCCCGTTTAACCCCCCCAGACCCACACCGCAGCACACACACCCATGACACTCACGCACGTCTGCACATGCACACACACACACACACACACACACACAAACATGAACGCACATCCGCTTACAGCACCCTGTGTGTGTGCATGTGTGTGTGTGAGAGAGAGAGAAAGGGGGGGGGGGGGGGGAGGATGTTCTTTCTTTTCTGGACTTCCCCCCCTTCTGTTTGGTTTTAAATTTCTAGCGTTTTTTACTCTTCCGTCTAAATGTGTGCTTGCACACACGAACACACACACAGGCACACACACACACACAGATAGATAGATAGATAGAGAGATAGAGAGAGAGAGAGAGAGAGAGAGAGAGAGAGAGAGAGAGAGAGAGAGTTGAAGGGGAAGAGATGGGGAGGGAGAGTGAGGGAGAGAACGACGTCAGGACAGTTAGATGGTGGCTGCTTGCTGTCTCCACTTTATCGGATCTGTTTTTCTGATTCTGTTTGTGCTTTTGTTTTTGTTGGTTGTGTAGTTTATTGTTCAAATAAGTGTGTGTTCGATGTGACAGAGGGAGACAGAAGAGGCTAGAAAGGGCAGAGAGTGATAGTTTACACACCTACACCATACTTGCGGCGCATCGGCCCTGTGCGCTGCGCAGTGCACGGTGCGCGCGCACCGGCGCTCGCCGCGCACTTGACTGCGCTGCGCGCGGGTGCGCGCTGGCGGGCCGCATATGCGCCAGGTGTGCACATCATATATTTTTTATTTTTTATTTTTGTTGCATTGGAACACAGTTCAACACACAC